TGTCAGCTCAAGCCTACGGTGATCATTTTTCCTGTGTCAAAATGGCACTTAATTTTCTCATTGTAAAGCTACAGAGTAAGAACAGGTAGGTAGAGGAGGGGGGAAACCCTACAAACTGCTTTTCCTTCCTGCACCTCTCAATTCCCCCCGGAGCACGTGCAGGACGCCCCTGCCACCACCCACCTGGAGGCCCCTGCCCCTCAAAGAAACGGGGCTTGCTCCGGCCAACCGGAACCCTCCCTACCTGCCCAGGACGCCCCCAAGCCCCACAGAAGGCCGTGCGAGGATAGGCTTCCTGGGTCAGTGATGAAATCACAGGGCTCTTGCACCGGGTGTGCCTCCAGGAAGGGGAGATGCTCTGCAGCGGTGGAGGGGTTAATCATGCCCATTCTGGAGGTCGACTGGGTAGGCTCTAATCCCAGAGCCACCGCCCTCCCCTCCCTGTGCCTGACTTCCCTTCCTGAAACTTGGGACAAACACAGGCCTGTTCTCCTAGAGAGATTGCAAGGATTAAGTGAGTAATGAATTTAGAACCCATGCCTACCACATAGTAAGTGCTCCAAACGAGCAAACAGCAAACAGAAAAGCCACTATCCTCACCCTGCCAGCAGGGTGGCCAGCCTCAACTCTGAAACCTGGAGCTGTGACTTTCCTCTTCTTGGTTTGCACGTGGCAGTGGGGGCAGCGGGGGGCCACAACCGCGGGGTACTCTCACCCCCAGGGCCATTCTGAAGGGACAGCTGGTGTCAAAACAGAGTTGAGCCCCACACGCTCGCTCCAGATACCCCACACCCATTACTGACGTCCCCCCTCTTCTCGGATCCCATAGGACTGCCCCGTTCGGTGCAGGCCTCAACTTCCTGCCGTGTCTGTCTGCCTCCGGCCCGTGCTCCCTCTGAGTGTGAAATCTCCCTGCGCTCCCTGAGATGGCCAGGACAAGACCTGGCCCATGGCAGGCCTGGGAGATGCGCCTGACGTCCCCGCGGGGGACACATGGAAACGTCTGGTGACATGTTTTATTGTCACAACCGGGAGGGGGTACTGACATCTAGGGAGAGCTCTGTCAGGGGTGCCGCTAAACATCCAACAGTGCGCAGGACAGACTCCCACAAGTGGGCAACGTCCACGGTGCCACTGCTGAGAAGCCCCGGTCTAGGAAAACAACATCCACGTTAGTCTAACAAATGCCACCAAAGGCCTCACCCCGACCTGGTCTCTTCAGGCAGATAAACCTGACCTCCCGAAAAGCCAAGCACTCCATGCCCTTCGCCGTGGCCACACTCCAGCACGAGACAGAGACCAAAGATCCACAATGGTTTTTCGAAATGAAAGTTGGGGAGGGAGGGGGATCCTCAAGCAGCCACCAGAGCCAGCCCGCATGGCACAACGGAGCCCCGCGGCAGGAAGTCCACGGAAGGCCTCGTCATGACGACATGAACTGGGCACGAAGGTCCCCACCCCCACCCCAGGCACACGGGGACCCAAGCTAGGTGGCTTGTGGAGTAACCCGCCGTCCCAAGGCGGCTTCCATCCATGTCTGCCCACACATGGGGGGGGGGGGCGGAAGCCAATAGGGGGAGAGGGTGAGGAACCTCGAGAACGTGGCCTGCATTCCCCGGGGTCCGGATCCCAAGGACTGTGCCCCTCCCTCCACGGCACACACGGGCTCACGAACTCGCCGACCTGCACTGAGTAGGCCAGCTGTGAGCACAGAGGAGACCGGCTGGGTGCAGGTGCTTCAAGCAGGCAACACCCTCCCAGGCACGTGCACGCACACGGACGCACAAGGACACACGCGTGGGCACACACACGGACGCGCACCAGCATCGCCACCGCTAGGACGTCAGCGTGACCGCGTGTAGGACTCCCTAGCTTAGCTGGGCTGCCCGCCCCTCTGAGGGCACCCCGAGCTCCCAGGGGCGGCCCACCCAGTCCACACCCGAGGAACCAATCCCTCCCCCTGACAAAAGGCCTCTCTCCCAACAACTCCCAACCAGGTACCACTCGACCACGGAGAGCACACGGTGAGCCACACCTCGCCCTGGGACTACTTCTTGCCCTGTCCCCCCCCCATCCCTGCCGTGGCCCGTCCCGGAGGGGGCACGCCGGCGTGCGGGGCAGGTGTGGCTTCACAGAGAACGCCCCTGCTCATGAGTCCTTATTAGCAGAAGGGAGTCGGTCCGGTGCCAGTGCACTCGTGCCTTGCTTTTCGACCTCACAGTCCGGCCTTCTCGGGCCGCGAAGGCCACCCGACCACAAGTGTCCTTCCAGCCCAAAGCGAAGGCCTCCCTGGACACAGCACACAGCTGAGCGCTCACCTGCTCTAGGCTCTGGGGGAGATGTTTCGGGACTCCTGACCTCAGCACGGACCAAAGCGGACCCGGACAAAGCTCACTCCTCCTGTTAAACTCGCGTCAGGTCTCACTTTAAATAATGCTGAGAACAAAATGCAAGCTGATATTTCAGCTTACTTAAAAGGCTTATTAAGAACCCTGAATCCAAAGACGTTAAAAAGCTATAATTGTCCTCATTCAAACTGGAAAAAATAAATCTATTTGCTTTTCTTCCTTTATGATCCTCTGCTAAAAAAAAATAAAAAATAAAAAAATAAATAAGTTCATCTATATCCTCGTGAGCATCGCGGCTGTCTTTCTTTCCCTCCATTCAAGGCACTTTAAAAACACCTGTGCCATTCATAGCCAACTTTTGAGCAAAAGGCAACCACGTCTGGGGAAGGCTGCTTAACTCTGATTTCCTTACGCCAGAGATAAGCCTGTCTTGCTCAAAAGCTAAGATGGGAGTTCAGAGTTCACTTGAATGGGCTTGTGGATTTTATAGGTCTGAGCTGATGAAATTTCTTTGGTGACCTAAGGCAGAGCAGAGAGCCTAATCGCTCGGCTTTTTGGGGCTCAGCAGGCAGGGATTCCACATCTCAGCACCGCCTTCGGGACCCCATGGGTAACTGTGGTTAGTAGGGCTGCACATCCTGGCCACCCGCCCTGTCCTCTCCCATTATGGGGGTTACTGGCCTCCGGCTGGGACCACAGCAGCGTGACCGTCGCTCGCTGCCTGCCCTAAGTCTTCCGTGAAGACAGCCCCAGCCAGCAGTTAACTTGCTGAGTTGCGAGGATCTCAAGCCTGCTCAGAAGTTAAGCACTCCAGGCACAGAACAAGATGGGTTTTCAGAGCAGTGGTCCAAGAGAATGCAAATCTATCGAAAGCGCTTTCTCCAGGTTTTCCATAATTAGCATTTATGTCTCCGGGAACTGTCTCCCCGAACCCAGTTTAGGGTGAAAGCATTTTAGAGACTTTCTCTGCAGATGACATACGAGGTACTAACCTTTTTTCATATGCCCAGATGTTAAGTTCATTTTCATCACATTTATGCAAATTTCATTTGAACAGTAAATCAAAAGAAATCTTAAATCATTGTACACTATTTAAAAATCCACACTAAATCCGGTTTACTTGCAGGGATATTAACATAAAGTCACAGTTAAGGGACGGAAGGTATGAAGCAGATGTCACAGTCCCCCCTGCCACGCAGCGGCCCCACAGATACCTGGGGTGCCGGCCACCCACGCGATCCAGTATCTCCCTCCCGGTGGCAACCGGATTCGAGCTTTGCCCGGTTAGAGGTGTTCCGGAAACGGAAGCCTTCTAAAAGTTTCCCAAACTATAGGACAACGGGGAGGTGGAAGGGGAGGGGGGTCTCTCGGTCCAGGGGCCCCGTCATCCATGTCAGTGTCTGGACTGAGACAGGACAAAGTTCAAAGGCAGGGGCCCGGGTGGTGAGACTTTTGGCAGCTGGTGCCCTCCTCGGTGGGGGGAAAAGTTAATTCCTAGGGCTCTGCAGGCCTGCGTTTGTCAAGGCGCTGGACGTCAGTGCTATCATTACCCAGCAAACCAGCCAGGCGGTTAATGGTGGAATCAGGAGACATTTGCACTCTGCTATCAGAATGACATCATAACTAAAGCAGCCTTCAGCCAGAAGCCCTGGGCTCTCCACAAGCAGAGGCCAGAGGGCTGCCGGGGGCGCCCCCCTGTGACTCCCCAGGCCGGAAGCTGAGTCCCTCCCCCTATCTAGGCAGGGTGGTGGGCCCAGCCCCCTGCAAGTTCCTGGGCAAGCGGGCACTGGGGTTCCGGCCTTCTCCCAAGCTACTCAGACTACCCCCCCCCATCCCGAATGCTGTAAATAGTACTAACCATACACGATCGCATTCTTTCTTTCTTTTTTTTTTTTAAATAAAATTTAAGATACTGCAAAACCACTTTTCCTCGACAGGCAAGGGGTTGGTATTTTATTAACGCCGCTGCGTTTTGGTCACGGCGTTTGTGGCATTTCCAACAGAACTGTCAATCCTCTCGGTGACCCTGTCTAGCAAAGAAGCTGTGCGCTCTCTCCTTTGAGCAACAGAAATAAATGATGCTGGGGAAATGGGGTTGGGGGGGCGGGTGGCAAGCCAGGGGAGAAGTCCTTCGTGCTCTTGTTTTGGCTGCTTTGCTTTCTCAAGCACAGCCCGATCCCTCTCGGTCTCTCTCTCTCTCTCTCTCTCTCTCTCTCACACACACACACACACACACACACGCACACATGCACAGCCAGAGACACAAACCTTAGGATAATGGGGGAGGCATTTGGCGACGAGCTGCATCCTCGGCGGGCGCTTGGAGCCGCGGCCCCGCTCGCCCGCCCGCAGCTCTGCCCTGCAGGGCGGGCGCCGACCCCTCGCGCGGGGACCCGCGATGCCCAACTCCGCCGCGCCCCAGAGGTCGCCCCCCAGCCCCCCGACTCCGGCTGCAGGTACACGCGCGGCCCAGCAGCTCACCTGGCCCGGGAAGTCGGGAGACAGAGAAGAAAAAGTTGTGCGAGCTGCCGGGAGCCCGGAGCCCGGAGCCCGCAGCCCGCAGCCCGCAGCCCGCAGCCCGGGCCCCTCGCCCGCCGCCGCCGCCGTGCGCGCTGCCCTCGGGGCGCGCCGAGGCCACGGCCGGGCACTTACTTGGCACTCGCTTTGGAGCGTGCAGGTCGTCGCGGCGGTCGCCGGGGTTTTCAAACAACTTTCAGGGAGGAAGGAGGAGGCCAAAAAAAAAAAAAAAAAAAAAAATCCAATTATGCAAATGGGCTCCGGACTGGGAGGCGCGCGCTGGAGCTGACGCCGGCCACTGCCCGAGTTCCCGGAGCGGCCCCGGGCCGGGCAGATTTATGCGGGCGCGTCACGGCTACGCCAGGTCCCGCCGCCGGAGCATCTCGAAGTTAATTAAAGCGGTAATGTCCACTTTCGCGGCCGCCCTCCGCGCGCCGGGTCACGGCTCCACGGGCCAGCCCGACCCGGCCGGGGACGGGGACGGGGGCGGGGGCGCGGGCGCGGGCGCGGGCGCGGGCGCTGCCCCCCTCGCCGCCCGTCCTTCCCTCTTCTCGCTCCCCCTCTGTTTTTCCCCTCTTTCTCTCCACCCCCCCTTTTCCCTCTCTTTAAGTCGCCTGCCTTCCACTCCGTGAACAATGAACAAAGCTGTGAGTGATGGGAAAGGATCGCCCCCTCCCAACCCCGGCGGCGAGCAAAGCCGGTCTTAAAGTAAAAAACCCAGTCGCTGGTATCAAACTGGGGAAGGGAACCGCGCGCTCCCGGCCCGCGCCCCCCCGCCCCCGTGCCCACACACGCACGCACGCACGCTCACCCCACCCCAAGTTCACCTAAGCCCTGGCTGGGGGCGGGGGCGCAGAGGCCGGCGCTCCGGGGGCCGCGCAGCTCGCCGGGGACCCCCCCTTCCCCGGGGCGCGCAGGCGGGGGCCGCGGCGGGCGCTCCGGCCGAGCTCGCCCCCCCGCGCCCCTGCCCGCCCCGACCCCCTCCCCGCGTCCACACCGGCCAGCCGGGCCCGGCCGCCCGCTCGGGCTGCCCGGCGGCCGGATGCGCTCAGCAAACGCGGCCCCTGTCGGATTTCTGCTAAACTGCACGGCGGCGGCTGCCGGGAGAAGGCGCAGGAGGAGCGGGAGGCCGGCCCCGCGCGCGCACGGCCCCCGCCCGGCCGCGGCCCCTGCCCCGGGCTCGCCCGCCCGCGCCCCCGCCCCCCCCCCGCCCGCGCGCGCACGGCCCCCCGCCGCCCCCGCGCGCACCGGCGCCGGCCCCGCAGGCCGGGACGCCGCGCAGCCGCCGTATTTTCTGCTAAAGTGAAAACGAAGGCGGCTGACAAATCACGTCTCCTGCGAGGCACTCGTTAGACATAACAATATCCGGCAAACAAAACCCCGCCGCGGCCGCCGCCGGCGCGCGGGGCCGGGACCCCGCCCTGCCCTGCTGCGCCCCCCGCGCGCCCCGGGCCCGGCCCCGCTGCGCCCCCCGCGCGCCCCGGGAGACCGCGGGCCGCGTCCACGCCCGCCGAGGGGACGCTCACGACCCAGAAGCGAGCGGGGGGCGCGGGAGGGGGGGTGGCAGGCAACTTTCCACCTGTCCCCACGGAAAGCCCTGCCGGAGTTTCCTCGGAAGAGTTACGAGGAGGGGAGGGACGTGGGGATGGGGGGCAGGTCCCCGCGCCCCGCATCCCTTTCCTTTTCTGCTAACTTCTCGGCGGCGGCGGCGGCGGCGCCTGCGTCTCCACCTTCCGCTCCACGTACACCCGTCTATATGGAGAGATCTATATTTTAAATTATTTGCAAAGCTGCAACAGATGGGCGCGTCGAGATCTGGACACTTTCCTACTCATCATCAAAGAAAAGCTCTTCTCCCCCCCCCCCACCACCCCCTTTTCTTTCTTTTTTTTTTTTTTTTCTTTTTGCCTAAAATACATCCCGGTCCCGCCTACGACTGTTTTCCCTCAATTCTTGATCTTCAAAAAAATAATGTCTTGCAGCAAACAGAAAGGTTTATCAGCAGAGATCCTTCTCGCCCCCCCCCTCCACTCCTCACCCACCCACCCCGCAGTCGTGCATCTGGGCCAGTGCATCCGATCCTCCCCCCGCTCCCCAGACTGCGCTCCCCCCAGACGCCCTCCGCGCCCTCCGCCTCGCGGAGCCCCAAGCCCGCCCGCACCCCCTCGCTCCGATTGGCCTCATTTCTCCAGCCCAGGGCCAGCCGGCTCAGTTGCCTCCATAAACCTGTTACTTATTTCTTTCTTTATTTGTATCTTGGGCATCCCCCACCCCCCACCCCCCCCCCCCCGAGGCTGGGCCGCAGGGCCTGGGCCGCGCCGGGGCAGGTGCCGCGGACGCCGCCCGCGCTTGCAGGCGCCGCGGCCCTTCCTGGGGTCGCGGGTTCGGACCCTGACACCCGGGTCCTGCGGAGCCCCCCGGCCTCGGCCTCGCCCGGCTCCCGGGCCACGGGAGGCCAATGAAAACACAAAATGGCAGGTCTGCGCGGCCCTCGGCGCCCGCAAGTTTGATACACTGTAACCATCAGCTAACTTTGATTTAAAAAAGAAAAAAAAAAGATTACAAATTAGCCTGCATTCCCCCCCCCTCCTCGTCCTCCTCGTCCTCCTCCTCCTCCCGCGGCGGCGGCGGCGGCGGCGGCGGCGGGGCCCGCATCCCGCGGCGAGGCGCGAAGGGAGAAGGGGAGCCAGGGCGCCCGCGGCTCCGCGGAGGAGAAGAGGGGCAAAGTCAGTTGAGCAGAAGTTTCCGCGGCCGCGGCCTCCCCCGGTGCACACGCTCCCCCCACCCCCGACCCCTTTGAAAGTTTCCCGGGGCCCGAGAGCGGCGCGCGCGCGGGGGGCGCACGAGGGGCGCGCGCGCGCGCGCGGGGGCGCGCGGGGGGCGCGCGGGTGGCGCGGGGCCCCGCGGCTCCGGTTCAAAGTAACGGTCCCGGGCCCGCGGGCGGGGGAGGCGGCGGCCGGGGCGCGGGTCCCGCTCGCCGCCGAAGTTGCCGAGCGCCGGTGGATGCCCGGCCGCCGCCGCGTCGCCGGCTCCGAGCTCTCCATCCTCCCCCCTCCCCCGGTGACAGCTCCTCTCGCCAACGTCACAGCCACGGATATTTAATTAGACCGTATTTTTTAATCGCGATGGGGCGAGAAGGAGGCCGGCGGCAGGCCTCGCCGAGACGGGGAGGGGGAGGGGACCGGGGGGCCGCGCCGAGAGTCCAAACTCACTTTGCCACCTCCCGGCCGGACGCCGCGCGCGCCCCCCCCCGTGCGCCCCCGCCGCGCCCCGCGGGGAGGGGGCCCCCCCCCGCCTCCCCATCTTTGTTTTCCTTACCTTAAACATTGAAACGCGGGCGTCGGGAGCAAAGTCGGGCACGTAAACGGAGCGTTGTAAAAGATTGTGTTCAATGAATAATGAAACATGTCCACATGATTGACTTGATCATTTTCCGGGGCCGAGGGGGGACGGGCGCCCTGCTCGCGCGCCTCGCCCGGCCGCCCGGCGGAGCCCCGCGCACTGTTCCCAGCCCAGCCCGGGCAGGGCGGGCTCGGTTTTCATCCGCCTCTTTTCAGAATCGCCCCGTTCATTGATACTCATCACCCAGCCCCAGCAGACCTCCCCATCCCCGGCCCGGCCTCCCCCTATCTGGTAGGTGAAATGCATTGTACCATTAAAAACGCTCTCCATTGTCGCCCTGGCATAATTCACAGCAACTAGATAGGTCTTGCGGCATTTAGCTTTGATGAGCCAGAGACTGAACCCTTGATATAATAATCTACAAAGAATGGTGTGTGATCGTCCATTTTTTCTCTCTGTCTAGCAACTAAGAAACCATTTAACACAGCGCAGCTTGCTTCTGACCTTGAGCTCATGTAAACACACTTATTAAAATCTATCTATTCTCCAAGAGCTACATTCTGATTGTCAGACTCGTTACGGAGACATACATCAGCCCCTTCGCTTGTCACTACTTTGCATTCCTGCCTTTGACTAAAGAATTTTTTATCCAGCCGAGAGAGAGAGAGAGAGAGAGAGAGAGAGAGAGAGAGAGATTGCACAGAGGGAGAGGAGAGAGAGAGAGAGACAGGGAAAGGGGGAGAGGAGCAGGAAAAAAAAAAAAAAGCTTAATTCTTACCTGCTCCTGAAACTATTTAAAGTCTGTTTCTTTTCTGGGGGAAAAAAAAAAAAAAAAAAAAAAAAAAAACAACTCCAGGGTGAATCTCGGTGGACAGCGGGACGCGGAGAATCAGTCACAGCCCGGGCGTTTAAGGGAGTCATCAGCGATCAAATGACGTTGATCCGCGCTGTAACCTTGTGGCGTATTTAATGTAAATAAGGCAGTTATGTTGCCAATCGCCGCGATACAAACACGGAGAGGTCCTCAGCCTCGCCTCCCGCGCCTGCCATTAGAGGCGACTTTATTTACAGACACTATTTAGGAGATCATGATAATTCTAAAACAATACTGGTGCCAAATGATTATGAAAATATGATTTTAATTAATCACGTAGTAGGCAAGGAAATTAGCATACGGTAATTAAACTTGGAGAGAAACGTCACGCAGGTTCTCTGCCTTATGGGTCCAGAATAATCATCACGCGGTGGGCTCCAGGACTCAATTATCAAACAAAATAACTTTTTTAAGGCAACTTTGCAAATGCTGGTCCTCCAGGCAAACGCTTCGGTAAATAATGTAAGGCGAGGTAACAAGGTAGAGATGTGAGGGATGCAGGAGGTTGGGTTTCTGTGAAGCAAGGAAGAGGGGGAAAGAAGGGGGGAAAAAGCTGAATAATGCAATTATGGATTCTCTGTCCTAGAGTTGACAAAAGCTGGTGCCTCAAAAGCCTCTTTGTTATGGGATTATATAATGATCCTGGTGTCATTATGGGAAAAAAAAAAGATTCAGTAATAATAATAAAAGAAGTATCCAGATACACCAATGAGGAGCTTGTTTTAAAGAAAAGACTCGCATGTGACATTGGGGCATGTTAATAGCAGAAAGACAAGATCCAAAAGAGTTGACAAATAATGGAGGAGAGAGGGAGGGAGGGAGAGAGGGAGGGAGGGAGAGATTGAGAGAGAGAGAGAGAGAGAGGCCTGTGTTGTGCATGATTAAGAAGCGTTGGAGACGGATTGATTATTCAAAACGCCAAGCCACAGGGACACTTAAAACATTGATTCAGGTAGGACTTGTTCTAGCCT